AACTAAAATTCACGATGTCAAGATATAAAACTTTTAATACTTTGTTGATTAACAAACTGCTTGCTAGTTTCGATGCCTCCTATGGCTCGTTGTAACGATTATCTAACCTTAGAAAGGATTAATTAGATCAATTAAACAATCTCGTCACCCCTTCCCCAGAAATTGAACACACAGGGTCTTGCTGTGAACTTTATGAACTGTATTTTTGAAAACGCTCATTTTTTTTTCAGAAGAAAAGATAGCATGACAATTTTTCCTGTAAAAAGATGTTACTGATTGAGTTATTAAACTATAGAAGTTGCTTATAACAGATGTAGGAATTGCTCTCCGTTTTGATAAGCACAAATTCTCATTCTTTTTATAATCATGTTCCTTAACAATTCTGGCTTGGAATTGTTGAAGATCCACCTCGTTCTGGGAACTGTTTACAAACTCTGGCAGACTAGTGTAATTGAAATGTTGATGCAGCACGTGGGTTAATTGAAAAAAATGGAGGTGCTTGTAAAGGTCTTTGGAGGTGCTTGTAAGGGTTTAGAAACCAAAAACGTATGTTTTTAGTCTGCATTCATGAAAACTATTTATTGTTCCGACTTTCGATACGAAAGTAACGAAAAATTTGCGCTCGGGGGGGGTTTTTTTTCTTCAGACGAATTTCGACTTTTTAACTAGCCATTTTTGACGGAATTTTGTATATCATTCAAAAAGTATTGTTGTCTTGAGCTTAAATTTCACCTGTGATCATTTTTCGTAAAGTTATGGGGGTCTAAAGATTGCCATTTTGTCCAATTTGGGACAATTAACGCGCGATATATTTCGCGCTACTAATGCGTAAGCGGAGATTTAATCCGTCTTAGAAATCGTTGCAAATTGGTCAAAAGAAGCTTATTTGCCATAAGTGATTTGTTACAAGGAGCAAAATCTATTCTTTTGTACTTTATATGGCTTGTGGGAAGATGATTTTCATAAAAAATTTCAAATTAAAAAAAAAATCAATTTTATTTATTACATTTAATTTTTTAAATGTTTTACTGCTCTATAATCCTCAAAAGGCAGTCGGAACATTCAGCGCTTCCCCCACATACGAGCAGTATTGTTGCTTTTGCACGTATGACCAAATGTAATGAGAAGTTTGTGCAGCTCGAAAGACATTACGTTGAGCAAATCAATAATTTTTGTAACTGTATTAAATCACAGCCTTTTTTAAATTTTCTCAATAAACTTAAAGTTAAACAGATCAGATTTTTCAAAAAATACAGCTTATTCATTAACCCGTCGTTGTAAAGAATTCACGCTAAATTGTGCAAAAAAGGCAATCTTTGATTGGATAATTATTCAATAAAATTTGAGAAATAGATTTTCAAAAATTTTGATTATAATCGAATGTAATGATTTTTTTTGTTTCGAAAATTATGGAGACTGACATCAAAATCCAAAATAATCAATTGTTTTCTTTTTTTTACTGAGTGCGGGCATGGTTTGCGCTTAACACATTGCCTTTCTTTAATCCGTCACAATAATTTTTCCACGTTAAACTGTGGCACTTCATATTGTTTGAATAGCTCGTTACTTGATAAAAAACATGTCGCTTTGCAATAAATCAACTTGCGCGAAGGCGGTTATTTTGTCAAACGAAAACTAGAAATTTTCAAAGTTATGAACTTTTGAACCCAGTTTTTGTTCCGACTTTCATAACGAAAGTAACGGAATATTTGTGCTCGGGTGGGTTTTTTTCTTCAGACAAATTTTGACTTTTTAACTAGCCATTTTTGACGAAACTTTTAAATATCTTTCGAAAACTATTGTTAAGTAGAGCTTAATTTTGGAAAGATATTTTGACTGCGATCCTTTTTTTAAAGTTATGGGGGTTTAAAGACTGCCATTTTGGCCAATTTGGGACAATTAACGCGCGATATATTTCGCGCTATTAACGCGGAAGCGGACATTTAATCAGTCTTAGAAATTGTTCCAAATTGGCTCAAGGAAGCTCATATGCCATAATTGATTTGTCACTCATCAAATTTATCACTTTGTATTTAATATGGCGTGTGGGGGGATGTTTTTACAATTCAATATTTTTCAAAACAAGTTTAAGTTTTTTTTTTTTACACTTAATTTTTTCAAGATATTACTGCTCCATAGACCTTAAAAAGCATTCGAGACTTTTAGGGCCTTGCGTTGATACAAGCAGTCTTAAGGCTAAAGTTTCGACAGCTAAAATTGACTCTCTAAATCAAGCAACAGTGCCCTCCTGCGGGACAAGATCGCAAAATATTCTCACCCATGTCATTTTTTCAAAAAAAAAGTTAAGTTTTTTTTCGATTTTCGATTTTTCCTCAACCTAGAAAAGACTTGCAATGTTTTTATGCAATATTGCTAGGCGAGTTTTTTCACAAGTAAATAATATGACATCAGAACAGTGGACTGTTCAAAAATTATTTCGAGAAAACTAAATAAATTTTAAAACAATTTTTGTAGTCTAACTTTTGTCCAAAATAATGCGTTTCAATACAGCGCGCGCTCTTCAAAAAAAAGTATAAATCGGCTCTCAAGGGGTTTTTTGAAAACCACAGGGGATCTTAAGTAGGAGTAGTAAAATAGTAGCAAAGGGGATCTTCGGTGTTGAGGGAGTTTAATCATTGAGAGAAAGGGGATCCAACCACTACCGCTTGGGATTCTGCATACAACATTACTTATTAAATTAATCACAATAACCTTCTCGTTCCGACTATTGAAAATGGGGAGGAACTTTGTATTCGGGTGCGTTTTATTTTTTTTTTTTCATTTGGTTTTCCATGCAAAATCAGCTATCAGAAACAATCATTGGACTGGGTTGAATGATAAATCATAGTAAAGCTTTTTCAGTCGTGATTGGAACGACTTTAAAAATTTTGGAAACAGTTTTCCCGGTGTCGAGAAAAACTGGTTTGAAATTATTGGTTTTTCGTCTAATTTCGATCAGGTGAGCAGGCTTACATTAGCTTACTTATGCTTGAACCTTGAAAATTTAGTTTCACTCAGATGAAGTTAATTTTTGAGGTTTTTAGCATCATTGGAGGAATCAAACAGTTTTTAGTATCATTGGAGTTTTTAGCATCAGTGGGGCATAAGTTTCGAAAAATTAAAAAGTATTTATTTTGTTTTTGGTTTTTTTTGTTTTTCTTGTTATTTATCTTCAAAAATTGTTTTCCGTTTTGCATATTTCACAATGAATGACAAAAATACCTAAGCTCTACTTTTTTACTCAGATTCTTTTATCACACCACGCCGAAAAAATGACACAAATTAGGAAAAATGACTATAGTTACTTTTTAAGACTGGTCGGAACTTTCTGTGCTACTTGCTATCCTTAAGGATAGCAAGTAGCACAGAAAGTTCCGACCAGTCTTAAAAAGTTACAACAGCCATTTTTCCTAATTTGTGTCATTTTTCGGCGTGGTGTGATAAAAGAATCTGAGCAAAAAGGTAGAGCTTAGGTATTTTTGAGCGGTTTTTTAAGCAACTTTTGAGCGGTTTGAGCTGTTTTTCCAAAAAAAAACCGCCCAAACCGCTCAAACCGCTCAAATCTTGCTGGAAAAACGCTCAGTCCGCTCATATCTTGAGCAATTTTTGAGCGGGATCTCGACCCGGGTTGTTATGTTTAGCTTGGGTTTATAGATTTGTATTGAATAAAAACTTGATTTTATTTTAACAACAAATATAATGGTTAAAACGTTTTTTTTTTCAATGTTAAACTTCAAGGATTGTGAAAACTTCTAGAGTTTTCGTCAGCAAAACACAGTGCAAGCTGTGGAGAAAAAGTAGTAAACATTTATTGCAATACAAAAATTCTGTTAAGGCCTACAGACAACTCCTCTGCAATTCGCAGGAACCACATTAACTAAAATAACTGAATCAACTTTCGTGCTAAATTGCGAGACGAACTCGCATAAGCAATGGGTTGATTTTCAAATGATTGTTAAGCGTTGGAATAGTGATGTTTAGCGTAACAAAGGAGATTTAAAAGACACTAAATTTGGCCTAATTGTTTACCGGGAGTTATGTGACTGACCAGGAGTGGACATTGGGCTTTTTTGAGATGTAGAGGGAGCAAATCACAAAAAAAAACAAGAAAACATCCATGAAAAAAATGCTTTAATCACTGCGAAAAGTTCGTTTTGCGCCAAACTTATCCTTTAAATCCCATTTGAATTTTTTTCTTGCATTCCAGGGTCAAATCTACGATCTTCTTGAGAAGGGAGAGGATTTACAAAAATTTGTATCGATTTTTGGCAATACTTTTATGTCACCAAATTTATTTTCCAAGCTTTCCCAAATATAACAAGACTGCTCGTATCAGGGCGAAGCCCTAAATGTTCCGACTGCCTTTTAAGATCTATGGAGCAGTATTAACGTGAAAAATTTAAATGTAATAAAGTTTATTGAAAAAAAAAACGTTTCTCAATTTTGATATTTTTTTAATAAAACAATCATCACCTCCATAAGCCATATAAAGTAAAAAGTGATAGTTTTCATTCCTAGTAATAAATCAGTTATGGCAAATAAACTTCCTTCAACCAATTTGAAACGTTTTTAGGCACTTTGTAAGGTTTTGTCCAAAAATCGCCCTCTTTCGGCGCGCGCTTTCCCTTAAACACTTTGGCGCCAAAGGCGCGTTTAGAAAAACTTTAGAGTAGGTTAGCCGAAAATTGATATCTCAAAACAGTACCAAAGTGGGGGCCACTTTGAATGACCAGGGGGTGAATCACAAAGAGAAAGCGTCCGCCCCCCTCTCACCCCCTCTCCCTAAATCCGCTACTGGTTTGACCAATAAACTATTTTTTTGCACGCAATCCATCTTGAACCTTAGTGTATTTGATATTTAAGACGCTTCAAGAACAGTTTTGAGTCGGTAAGTCAAAATTGATGTGTTAATTTAGTACCAAAGGGGGTGGGGGCTTATCAGTGGGGAGGTTTGGAATGTGCTGGGAAGGGAGAGCCTAAGTTGCGTCCCTAAGACTGACCCGTTGTTTGATGGCGATCTGCCTGGCCGAGACACTCTCCCCCAGCTGGCGCACAGTGGTTCCCCTCATCCAGAGTTCGGCCGCTGTCCTCCCGTACACCACAGAGACCACACCCGAAGGGATCAAGAAGATGGCCAACGAGTACACCACTATGTCGCTGAAATGAAAAAACATTTACAGAAATGATTTTTCTAAAAGATGGTTTATCCATAAACGAAGGGACCGACATACGAACTGTTCAGCTCTTCACGGGGTACCTCTGTTGTGCCCCTGTTTAACGTCTACATGAATTTTTTTGATTATATTTGCGTGCTGGAACGGTGCGCCTCGACACGGTGAGGATCACGGTGAGCCTCGGACATCTGACCTTGCAATTGCGATGCAGAGACGGAACCACTTCACCGCCGAGTTAGAATTACACTCATAACATTAAAAATCATAATATGAATCTGTTAGTGCGTAATGGTGTTATACCCAAATATCACTTTAAAAACATTTTAGTTAATAAAAAAAATTCGGAATCTGCCGTTGCAGGCAATCAATTTAATCTGTTAGCCGGCTTCACTTAATAGGTTTTTTCATACCCGGTTTGCTTAAAAAAAACACTCTCGATCACAAAGCTCGTTCTGAATTTCAGCGATGGAACGAAAATTGCCTGAAATTGAATGCAGTTTAGAACTGTTTTGAAAGTTTTATGGATCATATAAATCCTATTGAAGTTTCCTATTGAAGTTTTTATTGAAGTTTGCTATTGAAGCTTCCTTTACGCCTACACATTAAAAACTTAATCAAGAGTTTCATTGGGTATGCAGCGTTTTTAAGAATTGCTTTAATGAAAGTTATCTCAACTTGCTATTTATTGAAAGAAAGGTTGAAATCTGTAATTGAAAAGAAATCTGTCAGCAAATGTTTTTTTTTCATTTGATTTTCAGTTTCTAATCATTTTAAACTTTCTCACATTCATAGCAGACAGAAACTACAATCAAACATTAGAAAAGCTTAAAATCTATCTAATCTTTTTTGGGGCTGTAAGTTAAACACCTCTCGTCATTTTTTTCAACGTTTTTCTAGATTTTTAGTTGTATATTTGTATTTTATTGGCCTAGAAGTCAGAAAATGAAAACAGAACAAAAAAACTGCCATCTTTTTCTGCTAGAAATTCAAAACACATTTTCAAAATCGTTTTTTTACGTTTCTTTTTGGTTTCTCCCATCAGGAATTCGACCCCCTGCCGACCCACCAAGAGGGTCCTTTGGCGCTAATATATACTAAGTTTGAGGAAGAGCGAGGCGCGCGCCGAAAAAAATGCGATTTTTTGGTCAACATTTTAAAAAAGTGCCTAAAAACTTCTTTTTTGGGCTGTTTTTTCAAAATTTTGCCTTCGGCGCAGAAAATTTGGTCAAAATGAAGTCTTTATAGTGATTAAAGTGAGCTCAGAAAATCAATTTGGTCAACAAATTTTCAAAATTTTTTAGAGCAAATCAAATGCTAGCTCATTCCTTTGATTTTTTCAACCGTAGCTTTTACCTTTTCAATCGCTGACAGAAAAAACAGAAATTTTGAGGAGTCCGCTACAAAAAATTACGTTACAGTTATTTGCTGATAGTTTTTCCAGCATTTCCACTTACCAAAACTTCAAATGCTTAAAAACCTAATGCAAGTAAACCCAGGATCATACATGCACCAGATAGAGCGCGTTATCAGAAAACTATTCGGCAAGTTATTAAAAGATTATATTTTTTTAAACATTAAGTTTTTAACGGACTCTAATGGTTCATCAACCAACTCAAGTTGCTAGCTCTAACTAATTATTAAAACCTAAAATTTTCAAATCATTAGAAACTTTCAAAAACTTTTTTCATACTTCAAAAATTTAATCAAATTCGCGTGATTGAAAATTTTGGGCAAATTGCAAAACAACCGGTTATCTTTCTATCAAACATAATTTCAATTTTATATGGGCCTTTGACATTGAGTATAGATGTTTTATGAGCACATCTACAGGAGACAGTCTATCGAGTTAACGATAACAATTAGTAAACGAAGAAAAATCAAACTAACTCAAAAATTTGCCGACAGAAGTGTTCGGTTTTTTATCAAAAAATCATCAGTTCCGTGGGTGTACAAAACAGTCCGAAAACATTTCGATACAAAACAGTCCGAAAACAGCCCCGAGTGATATTTGTTTTTAAAAGACGGTAGGCCGAGAACTCTCGTGTGTCCAAACAATCTAACGACAAAACAGTGACCGTCGCAGTCGCGTCACATTACGAGGCCAAACTGTGCATTTTGTGCATCGTAAGCGGACTCCGCAACAAGGACGCTCCCTTTGTTCTTTTTTTGTCCTTTACTTTCCTTTGATCGTACCGACAAAATTTTCACATGTTTAAAGACTTGTCTCTGGAATCCAGGAACATACAGACACAAAATTGTGCTCCTATCCAGTGCACAGTTTGGCCTCGTAATGCAATGTGTTGCGAATATGCCAACAGAGGGTAGAACTTCAAACAACAATTAGAGCCTGTTAATGCCGCGAAACGGTGACGCGCGCATAGCGCACCCACCGGCGACATTAAACCGGACTGTTTGGTATCGGATTGTAAATGCATAGAAAATTATCGGGCGAAAGTCGAGCTAAGTTTCAACTGGTAAAAATTTCGACCTGCTCACCAACCAAAGAGCCCTTTGGTGCTACTTTGCGACATCGGTATCCCGTCAAGAAAATCTAGGATTTTCTTGAGAGGGGAGGGGGGAGGAGTTAAAACTTAAGCCCCGCAGGCAGGTTATTGTAAAAATACGTAAAACATGCCGTTTTTGGGCATTTTTTGGAAAATGTTGGCCAAAAGATTGCGGTTTTTCGGCGCGCGCTCTCCTGCAAAATTAGTATATATTGGTGGCCAAGGAGATTTTAGATAAACATTAGGATTGGACGGCCGACAGTGGCTGTCATAAAATAATACCGATGCGGGAGCATTTGGTTGGCGAGGGTCGAATTCCTGAGAGGGGGAAAGGTCGTCTAACCTTTCACTCCCCGCTAAAAATCCGCAAAAGGGAGAATTTCATGAATGCGCGTAGATCTAGGGTTTCTTGAGGGAAGTAGGGTGTTCTCCGTAAAACAATATATAGACCACGGGCGGGCGGATCTAGGAGGAGGGATCTGAAAATTCTTTCGGTCTTTTTTTTAGGTCGGTCTAATTGATTTCCCGAGTTCTCCCAAAGAACTGTTTTTGCTAAATTTTCTGCACCGCAGTCAAGAAAAAACATGCCAAAAAAGGCGGTTTTAGGCACTTTTTGGAAAATTTTCACCACAAAATTTCGTTTTTTTTCGCTTCCCCTGCAAAATCATTAAATAGAAATAAAATAAAGCGCTTTTAGAAAATTTTAGGGTCCGTCAGCCAAAAATGGATATCAAAATAGTACAAAGGGGGACTCTTTGGGGGACCGAGCAGAGGCCCCCCCTCCTCTAAAAAAACGCATTTGAAAAAAAATGCATCAGTTGGTGGTCAACCAACAAATATAAAGTAGACCACTCTCAGAAGTAAAATGTTTTGACTTATACTTTTGTGGTCGCAAGTTTGACACGGTAATTCATTCAAGAAGAAATCGATTCCTTAATTCAACTCGGTAATCCGTCTGCTGGTTTTGAAGTTCTCGCATTTTTCTTTTTAGCTTGCATGTTCATGCTGATTATTAGTGGTCAGCAGACAAGTTTCCTTTTCAGTTATCTAAAATATTTATCTTAATGAAGTGAGTTAGTGATAAAATTTCAGGTGACGTAAAAAAGCTATTTTTGGAAGAAAAAGTAGTTCTGGATGCCCACTTGTTTGAAGGTTTAATTAAGCTAATAGGGATACATTTCAGAAGCAAATATAGGGGGGGGGGGACATTCTCTCCGAGGGATTCAACCTCTGACCACCCAAAATCCTCCCTTGATTTAATTTTGGTATACCAATTTTATCAAAACCATTTCCGATTCCGATTCCGATTCTATGAGAACCTTTTTGATCGACCATTCGCTTTGTGATCTTTTTCGACATCATTTACACAAATTTGGGAGAGTGATAAACTTCCAAAAACGGCTAAAAAGTTAAAGTAGGCCGACAAGCCAACCAGAATCAATTTAGTCGGCTTAAAATATTTACACTTTTTTGAAAATCTTCCTCGAGAAACCTCAGATCCGCCCCTGATACAGTTAATAAAATACGTTTTTGTAGGGTTTTAATGCACGAACCAATATCAAGGTTTTCCCAGTTTCCTAAAAATATATATCAATTGGATCATGTCACATAGGATTCTGTTTCTGACATAGACTTTATTGATTGCACATGTTAAATTGCAATATGGATTTCTAAGTTGCGTTCTAAGATTTCACGGTTAAGTTGCAATTCAGCGATTTTTTCGGCGGATTGGTTATTCCGATATCAAAAACGAGATGCTCACTTTAACTATGACAGATTTTTTCTGCTGTTTGAGCAGTTAATTAATGCGCCTTAAAGGGGTAATATAACCAGTGGATCCATTTATAAGATGAATTCATTAAGTCTAGACAAGATGCTTAACTGGGATCAATAATGTCAGCAGCCTATCGAGGGGTTTATTTTGTTACCACATCAGCTGAAAGCTCGCGAAATCAGCAGGATACCCAAAAGTCAAGCATGTGTGTGTGTGTGTGTGTGGGGGGGGGGGAGCATTAATGGATTGGAGGTGTTATGGACCAATCTGTCAAGGAGGCCCTAATTTAATACCCCCTTTTTTCCGCCAAGAAAAATCTTTTTTGTTTGAAGGCCAATTCAAACAATACAATGGAAATAAATGGAAATGACCTCAAGAGAATGAGCTTATACCAAGAGAAAATAAGCTCAATACCATGCGACATAAAAGAAACCACTTACCACTTAATGAAATCTTAGTCAGCATTTGGCATTAATGTCGCCATTTTTTTTCGATGTTGGGTGCGGGTATTAGTTATTTTTCAGTAGTCTAAAATATTGGTTTAATTTTTTTCGAGAGTTTTTTTCTCGTAAATATATTTACAATCAAACTTATGTCATAACTAATTAAATATCACATTGTATACCATGTGAAATCCATGCCATAGAGCCATGTTATGGTTCTGTTTGTTCAATCAGCCAAACTGATAATGAAACTTGTTTTTCT